ACTAAAAGCAGTTTACGTCATTCTCCAGTTCTCCATTTCATCTTCACAACCCTGTAAAGTAGGTTAGGCTGAGAGAGGGTGACTACCCAAAGGTCATTCTGCAAGCTTCCATGGTAGAATGGAGATTAAAAGGTGGTTCTTCCAGATTTTAGTCCAGTACTCTAAATACTACACTATGCTGGCTCTTGTACTGTGGTTTTGGTTTTGTTTGTACTTTATGAAGATGTTTTTATTCATTTGTAACTACTGTGGTTACCATGATGGGTGACAGCAAGTTATTTCTGCCAAGCCTGAGTAATTTTAAAAATTAAGCAACTTTAACATAGTTTTCCCACCAGCCAAGATTGTAGCCACAATGAAATAACACCTATAGGAGCATTACAGCATCTGACAATGTACAGAAAATAGGGCATTTACACCAGTGTTTCCCAGATCTCTGATAGATTAGGTTCTTTTCTAAATTAAACTCTATAGAAGTCCAGGATAATTAATGGGGGTGGGGGAGGCTGTGCATGTGTGAAAAAGTGAGCTTTGACGCATGAAAGCGTATACCCAGGAAAAATTTAAGGTACTACTGGAGCCATATGAAAAAAGGGCATTAAAACAGTCACAGCCTAGGATACAGTGCATTATGTATACGCTCAACAGAATAATGAACCAACATTAAAACATACAGCAGCATGAAAGCTTTTATTTAATTTGATCATGCATCAGACTCAATTCACATTCACATTTCTGCTTCCTGTAAACAGAGTGATTTAACCTAGCTCACTGTTCAAGATGAATGTGTGTGGAATACCTATTTATTTTGATTTTACAGATACAGACCTTCTTGAATTGCTTGGCTTGCTTTAGATCCAAAGTATACAGATGTTTATATTGTTGGTAAATCCATGTTTGTTTTAGAACAACTTATTGTTACCTAATGGATCCATCTTCTCATCTCACCTCACACACCTGAAACTAGGGAAAGGACCCATGTAAAAGAAAGGTGCCTGTCCTTTTTGATTGTGTGTTAAGATACTCTCCAAATGCTCATTTCTTTTTCCAGCTAAAATGGAAAGCCTAATTTTAAAATATACCAGCACAAATCCAGAAGCTGTTTGCCATGGGAGATGAGATGTCCACATAGATTTCCCCAACCTACAGATACATCCCTCTGTTTTTAAGTGCTGGGGACCTGATCCATGTATGGAAAGGAAAACACCTTGAACTGGGCATCCCCATTTAAATGGGTGAAGTACTTTGCAGCATGTGCAAGGGACCCTTGAGTACATTTGTGAATTTGTACTAAGCCCTGTTGAAATGGATAGGATTTAGTTCCAATTTATGCATGCAGAAGAAGAAGAGGAGATTAGATTTATGTCCCGCCCTTCACTTGACGTCTCAGAGCGGCTTACAAACTCCTTTCCCTCCCCCTCCCCACAACAGACACCCTGGGAGGTAGATGGGGCTGAGAGAGCTCTTTCAAGAACTGCCCTTTCAAGGACAGCTTTGACAGAACTATGGCTTGCCCAAGGTCATCCAGCAACTGCAAGTGGAGGAGTGGGGAATCAAACCCCATTCTCCCATATTAGAGTCCACACACTTAACCACTACAGCAAATTGAGATTGCTTTACTGCATTGAAATTTAAAGAGAATTAAACATGTTTCTATGAACAATGTACATCTCTTTGGCATCCCATTGCAAACAATAGACAATTCCAGAATTATCTGAAAACTGAGCCTTAAATAGCTGGTATCTGAAGAAGTGCGCGTGCACGCGAAAGCTTATAAACCACATATTTATTTATTTATTTATTTCAATTTATACCCCGCCCTCCCCGCGCATGCGGGCTCAGGGCGGCTTACAAGAGGCACAGGCCAATATAAAACATATATAAAACCATTTAAAATCAATTCAATACATAACATTATAATTAACAAAAGTGCTCTAGATGTTCTCATATGATATTCCGCAGATGGTGTACAATTTCTCTACTACTCAGGGTTATCTGCTCTGGAAGACGCTGATGTTCCCTTCTTCCAGGGCCAGGGATGATGGAACGATAGTGATGGTGATGGTAGTGGTGGCTCCTACTCATACGCCTGGCGGAAGAGCTCCGTCTTGCAGGCCCTGCGGAACTGCACTAGGTCCCGTAGGGCCCGGGTCTCCTTCGGGAGCTCATTCCACCAGGTAGGAGCCGCCACCGAGAAAGCCCTGGCCCTGGTAGCGGCCAGCCTGGCCTCTTTGGGACCTGGCATCGCCAGAAGGTGTTGGGTCCCAGACCATAGTGCTCGTGGGGGAACATATGAGGAAAGGCGGTCCCTTAGGTAAGCTGGACCCTGAACATATAGGGCTTTAAAGGTAAGCACCAGCACTTTGAAGCGAATTCGGTACGCTATTGGCAGCCAGTGCAGCGCTTTCAGCACAGGCTGGATGTGGTCCCTACTAGGAAGACCCATCAACAGCCTGGCCGCAGCATTCTGCACCAGCTGCAGCTTCCGGATTTGTGACAAAGGCAGCCCCATGTAGAGAGCATTGCAGTAGTCTAGCCTCAAGGTGACCGTCGCATGGATCACTGTGGCTAAGTCACCACGGTCGAGGAAGGGAACCAACTGCCGCACCAGCCAAAGATAGTAAAAAGCTGACTTGGCAGTGGCTGGATACCATGGCATATACTGCTCTTGTATAACTCATTCAGAGAACCAGTGGAAAGCTATTTGAGTTCTTCCAACACAAGTTGACGTGACTGACTCTACAACTGCCATCATCATGACATTGTGAAATCGGGCCCCGTCAATGAGACCTGACCTTCCTTGATTCAAAGCAAAGCAAACTCACACAACAGGGCTATATCTACACCTACTGGGTATTGTACTCTCATTGTGCTATCATATATCACTGCACTGGCTTGTCACCGTGAAAAAAACCAGTTGTGTGTGGTTGCAGTAATAATGCTAGAGCCAATTTTCATTTAATTATTTTCATTTGGTCCAGCTATCTCACTGGAACTCAGTGACATGTGGATGTAGCTTAGACACTGGGCACTGAGGAAACTCTGCATTAGGGCTGCCAGCTCTGGGTTGGAAAATACCTGGAGACTTCGGGGGTGGATCCGGGAAAGGGCAGAGTTTGGGGAGGGACAGGGGCCTCAGCATGGTACAACACCATAGAGTCCACCCTTCAAAGCATCCATTTTCTCCAGGGGAGCTGATCTCTGTCAGCTGGAGATCACTTGTAAAAGCGGGGGATCCCCAGGCCCCACCTGGAGGCTGGCAACCCTACTCTGCATGTCTAGCTTTCAGTTTCAAATATTTAACCAAGAAAAGAAAAAAATGTATAGTTAAAAATTAGGAAAAAATTACTCAGATCCCTTAACATCAGCTTACACTGTTAAAATGCACCCCAGTCTTTAGTCTGTAAAGCTGATGCATGTTTTAAACTGTTTGTATAAATGTAAATAACAAATAGGGTTGCCAACCCCCCCCCCCGGTTTGCCAGGGGTCCCCACTTTTGGGGGGGTTCTCCCCGGCCCCGGCCA